TTGTGGGGGAGGCCTCTAGCAAAGAGATAGCTCGGGGACTTGGAGAATTGAAGCCCTGTGATTGTGCTGAGGTTTCTGGTGTGGGGGGAAAAAAAACCTCTGTGACGAGGCCTTCCAACCACCTCTTCCCACATGCAGGCGTGCTCTTCTGCTGCAGGTGTTGTCAGTACCAGGGTCTTTGTGGGGCGCAGCTGCACTGGCGAATAAAATGAATTGCTTGGATTCAGTTCCAAGCAGCCCTGGGTAGCAGGGAGTAAAAGCTGCCTCTGGGGAGAGGCAGTGTCAGAAATAAACTGCTAGCATCCAGCAAGTACACATCTGTCAGTTATTGAATTCCGTTTGTTTTTATTCTTCTAGGTCTGATAACTCTTTGGGGGATCCTGATCTTCCTTAGGTATCGCTGGCGGAAGATGGAGGAAGAGGAACAAGCCATGTATGATATGGTGAAGAAGATCATAGGTAGAATCCAGTAGCTGTGTAAATGCAAGTAGCCCTGTTCTTCTCTCTGCAATGTTGAGGTCTCTCACTGTTTTGTCCTCCTGCCCTCCAGCTGTTGTCCAGGACCACTACAAGGAATGGGAACGGAATTTGGAACGTTACCCCTACGTTGGCATTTTCCACGTTCGGGACAGCCTCATCCCTCCTCAGAGCAGGTGAGCTGAATTTTATTCATTAAGGAGGGCTGTCAGTGTGATGGTATTCAGCTCAGCTAAAAACCACAGTTACGGGGCAGCAGACCATGAGCAGACAATTGATGGGAAGCTGGACTGCAAGAAGAGTCTGTCTGGCCTTTCGGTTTATAAAGGATTTTGACATAATTCAGGCTATGTCTTAACCTGCTGCAGATTAATGTGACAGTCCCAGGGCTGATATTTTGTGCAGTCACACAGGTGTATTGTCATTGTTCTATCAAACACTAATTGGATTTTGTTTTGCTTGGGCATGGAGCATCTGATTTTCTCTCCTTCATCTAACGTGTGTAGGATGCGATCCTCTTTCTCAGCCGTCATCCCTTATTCTCCAGACAGGTGCCGTGCTTTTCAGGACAAACCTCCCCACGAGTCGAATAGGGTATTGGGCTCTTCTGAAGTGCTTGTGTACGTTGCTGCCTGGAAAGTTACCAGTTTGAGCTGGGCAGCTTCGGAAGGGAGATCCAGTGAAATGGCTGGTCTTGGGGCTTTTTAAAAAAGGAATTGTGGTCGAGACTCCAGGGGTGGTGGGGCCAGAGGGCTGCAGCCTGGGTCTCGGTGGGTTATGTGCCGCTTGCTTCATCTCTTGCAGGAAAACGTTTCTTGTGTTCTGATTAAATGAGCTACTTTTGTTCTCCTAACGGCACAGAACGCTACCTGTGCTGCAGACTTTTAAACATTCTCACCCTTTATCAGTCATGATACCACTACTAGGAAGAGGAGTTATTTCAGCTGTTTGGAACCAATCTCTCTGTGTGTGGTACCCAAAATTACTAGACACTGATTCAAAACTGGGGTGAACTTCAGTTTGTCTTCCCTGGTCTGAGCTCTCTCTGCATGCCGGAAGAGTGAGGGCAATTTGCTAATTGAGTCCCTTTGTGATATGAATTGACCTTGAAATCCAGGGCAATCATCAATTACCAGTACTGACAGAGGGTCTCATCTTCTGCCCCCAGGCAGGACCTGTGTTTTAATGTCCTGAAATCGCTTCTAAGCCAGAATTCTGGTTTAATCTCCTTTACGGTCTGTGCAGGAAACAGGAGGCAGCTAGCAGTAGCTTGATCAGCAGCCACAATTGCTGCAAGCAGGAAAGCACAATGACGATAGGATTCTAATTTATTTTCTTTTTGTTGCTGTTCCTTGCAGAAAAAAAATGAAGCGGGTCTGGGAGAGAGCTGTGGACTTTCTGGCTTCAAATGAGTCACGGATTCAGACAGAGTCGCACAGAATAGCAGGAGAAGATATGCTTGTGTGGAGATGGACTCAGCCTTCTTACGTCTCGGATTCAGAGGAGAAGTTTAGCAACTGTTGATATGGACCTCTGCAAGGGGACAGTCCCTTCCCTGGTGGTGGGAAAGAACAGGTCAACAGTCCTAATCTCCTAGGGTTGGGGATTGCACGTATCTGTTTGCTCTTCTTTCTGAAAATCTTCACAAACAAAAATTCAGGGCAATAACGTTGGCTTGGAAAGAAGATGGGTTTGAGCTGGTGGGAAGCTAGAATCGCACCAAAGTTTGCCTTCCAGCAGATACCTGGCTTCTGTAGGCAAGCAAAGCTGGAACAACTTTTTTAAAAGAAAAAAAAAAAAAAAGCATACCTAATATTGAGGGACTTAGGGTCTCTCTGACAAAGGTTAAGTGCTTCAAATTTGACCTCAATTCTGCAAAGGCCAACTGGTGGTAATGTCCATCAGGGAATGTGTTTAAAGAAGATTTAACATTTCCCATGGAAACATTGGGGTGGCAGTGAAGATGCATTTTGTTACAATTTGTTTTTATCAGTACAAAGACAGTGATGAAAGCACTTGCTGCTTCCTAATGAGGAAAACTTTTGTGTCGGCTTCACCCATTAAAAATGGGGGAGAGGGGAGAAAAGTCAGGTGAAGGTGATCGTAGAGGGAGGGCAGTCTGACGTGCCTTGGTGGTTTGGGCTGGGTTGGGTGGGATGGCAGGGTGGCTGTGACCCTGTTACACTTTTTAAGTCTGCAGTCTGTGTGCTTTATGATTTCTGGGGGGTGTGAGGGGGGTGGGGAATTTGGGTAGAAAATAAAGGATATAGGAAGCTTCCAAAAGCTCTTTCTTGTGGTTACAGCCAAAGGGACTGCTTCATGGGCTATTAAAGAGCAGCTTTGGAAAGGCTTTTAGGGCTGAATGTATATGTTTATCCTGGGCAGCTGCAATGTGTGTGCTGTGTGTCAGAGCAGAGATACACCATGCATGGAGTGTCAGTACAGGGATTGCCAAGTCGATGTTCCGGCAGCCTCACAGGAGGTACAAGGAGCAGCGATGAATCCTCTGTTCGTGCTGCAGGCATCGGATTTTGTATCTATAATCATTTGGTTACTTAAGTTTCTTTTTATGTCCAGCAAACGAGTGTTTGTTTCAAAGAAAATAGCACCAGTGTGTGGCAGTTTAGGCTAGGCAGAGATACTGCTAATCTGCTCTTCCTAATATTGTGAAACAGCTGTCCAGCTCACCACTCAGACAGCAGGGACCAAACTCATTGCTGGCATAAGCTAGTAAAACCCGCAGAGAGAAGCCGGCGTTGATCTGAACCCATGTAACCAGTGGATGTTGTTCTCCGTAGCGTCGCGAGTGCAGCGTGATGCTTGCCTTCATCTGACACTGGAGGCACGGGGAGCTTCCTCTCCAGGCTCTGGGTTGGCTTAGGACGGCTGCCGAAGCCCTGCTCCCTGCTTTGCAGGCTGCTGATGCCACGTACAAGGTGGGTTCCTTGTGCCGGTCCCTGCTCGCCTCCCGGTATGAAGTCTGCGCTTCTCTGCCCCACTGGTGGCTTTGGTGAGGTTTTGCACCTACGCACCCCGCAGGCTGCTGCGGGAGGACTGCAGAGACTCCTTACGTGCCTCCTGCTCGTGGTCATCGACTAAAATGAGTGGAGAGAGTGGATTTCTCTAGGAACAAAACACAGGGAGGTCTTTCCCATTAAATGGGAAATATCCTGGGTGGAATTGACTCTTGCCCCGTATTTTCTTTTTGGTTGCAAAGGTCGGGTGTTTGAACAGACGAGGAGACTCAACAGCTGTCTTCAAGACAATGACCAGCTTCCTCTGTTAATAAAATAGGGGATAAAGTGAAGGCAGCCTCGATTTTTCTAAAATGTTGTAACCAGATCATCACTGGTGCCATAGAAGTTTTAGCGAACACCGGTGCCTACATTCTTAAGCCTTTTTAAAATACTTGTGGGGTTTGGGTTAGCGTTTTTTAACCGTCCAAATCCAGCAGTGAAGAGTCAGGCATTGCAGTCATCTTTTTGTATTAGACTTGTTTTTGTAGAATAAATTTCACTGGCTTGGTGCTGTTTATTACATGTTCAATTTAGCTCTGTAAACCAATATATAAAATAAATTTATTACAAATAATTTGTTACCTTTATTCTTTTATTGAGGGAGTCACAGGTTGTTCCAAGTGCTTTCGCTCAGGCAGATCAAATAGATCCTGCTCCGGGGAGTTGATGGTTTCTAAGAATAAGACTGAAGATGGCACGGGGATTGCATGACAGCCTAACGAGACAGCGCGGACCCTTGTGACGCTCGGTGATCTCGGCGTGATAGCCAGCAGCCTTGAGTGTTTGGTTGCAAATTAAATCTGTGTTTTGGGAATAGTTGGCATTAAGCAGAGGTGTGTATGAAAAGCAGTTAGCTTGTTTAGCTGCATTTTGAAGAGATTGACAGCTTGGAGGGTTGTGAAACTGTAAATAGTAGTTTAACAGGTTGATCGGTATCCCTGTGGCCCGTCGTAAAACAGTTATTTAAAGCAGGGAATGGGATGGTGCAATAAGTCCTTGGTAACTGAGTGAGGGTGCCTCAAGCTTCCTGTGTTTTGCATTTGTCCTCTGAAAGGCAGATCCCTCACACGTTGGGTGTCTGAAGTCAGCAGCCGCTGCAGAAAATCTTGGCTGGTCCAAGCTGCTGGTCCTGTGTGTTGTGGCATCCTCAGGCTGTGGTTCGCTCACCTGGTTTCTGGGATGGGATGGGAAGTGCCAGTTGATGGTGCGGGAAGACTGGGAAGTAATAAGGGTGTTGGATAGAGCGCTGGGGTGGGATGGGTGTCCTTTCCTGTCCTTGGTCCCAGGCTGTTGCTTGCCACTGGACACATCGCTTCCCTCCTTGTGTCCCAAGGGTTAATACACTTTAAGCAAGGCTATTACAAAAGCACTGTAAAAGGGGGGATATTTACATCAAGGAAGAAGGCAGAAAGTCAAGTCTTCGACTATTTACCAGCTCCCCAGGGTTTCCAAGGTTGCCTGGTGAGCAGAAGACGCGGTCAAGGAAGAAGGCAGAAAGTCAAGTCTTTGACTATTTACCAGCTCCCCAAGGTTTCCAAGGTTGCCTGGTGAGCAGAAGACGCGTGAGCCCGTCTCGATGGCGAGACCAAGTTGTCTTCAGGGTCTGTTTCCATGAGCATTTTCAGTTCCTCTCTCACCTGCGTGTCAGTGACTCAGAGCACGTGCTACCGCGAGCTGCGACTTCTTTGGAGCCTACTCCTGAAACGGCACGAGTGGTCCGTGAATCATCGTTGTGTAACTTCTGTGGACATGGTTGACTCACTCGTGGTTGGTAAGAGAAACGTTTAATTAATCTCATAACGTAGGTCTGGATGACAAAGGGGGAGATCTCCACCGGCACGGAGGGAGGTTGGCTCCATGGCTGCAGTGGAAGGTGGTGGGGAGCTGGCTACCTCCTCTCTGGCGCTGAGTTGTTGCTAAGGTATGGGAACAAAAGAGAGGCAAGGCTAAATCTCTCCTCTGAACCCGCATTCCTGTTCAGATGCTTTTACCCAGTCTGGGTTGCTAAGTTACAACTGAAATATATTCAAGGTTAAGAAATAGTCTTCAGTTTGGCATAATTACGTGTGCCAGAGGATGTTTGCTTTCAGCCAGGCTGCCATGATGTTTTCTGCGATAGTCTTCCCCCTGCATCCCTTCTTTCATGTGCTATCTTGAGAAGGGACTCGTTTGGTGCCACGCTCGCTGCCAAGCTCCCACTTGCTCTCTACAAACTATTGATCACTTCTGTGGTACCAGCAGTTCCCCCAGAGCCCCAGGTCCATTCAAAGAAGAGGGAATGGCTGGGTTCATCCCCCTGCCCTGCTCTCCTTACAACTTGCCTTCGCTCAACCAGAGTTGCCAACAGCCCCCTCCCACTCCTGCCAAGTATTAAGTTTCTATAAATAAATTCTCCAATGGTGGGCTGATAAAGCTATCGCATCCCCTTACTGTCAGGAAGGAAAATATGTACCAACAAGGAATCTAAAATAAAATTTGCCCTTTATCTTTTCATTTCCTGCTTCCATTTAAAGCTTTTCACATTAAATGTTTTGTCTCCTGCTGACATGACAGCTGATGCTGTGCCTTATTTATGGGGCGCGGAGTCAGGGCGCTGTGCCAGTTCTCCTGGAAAGATCAACGTGAATCGGAGAAGAAAAAGCCCGGCCAGTGAGTCCTGCCCAAAGGCACTTCCTCCGGCACGGCCCCTGTCCGAAGCAATCACTGCCCTTCATTCAGCCTTTAAAGAACGGCCTCTAGGTAGGTGTTGCAAAAGGTTTTTTGTGCACGTTAATGAACGGATCCTCACGACGGCAGAGCTCGAGGTCTCAGTCCTGTCCCCACCTCCCTACCCTCAACTGCAGAGCTCGAGGTCTCAGTCCTGTCCCCACCTCCCTACCCTCGACGGCAGAGCGCAAGGTCTCAGTTCGGCCCTGTCCACCCCCCCCTCCCCTCGACGGCAGAGCGCGAGGTCTCAGTCCTGTCCCCACCTCCCTACCCTCGGAGGTCACCAGCAGCTGTAGCGTAGACTCCAACACGGGGACCAAAGCTCTGAATTAACCCCAAAGGAGCCCAGTATTTTTGTAGGGACGCTTCTGTAAGGCTGGTGGGGTCTGAGGCAAAGCCCACAGGTGTCTGAATTGGCTCTCCAAGACGAGGAGACCCCCATGGGTTGTGGAAACCTTGCTTGACTTTGAGCTCGTCTTGCCCAGGGACAGAGTGTGCCCCCTGTGCTCCCCCATCCCCAGTTCCTGGCAGAGCAGGGGCTCCCCGGGGACGTGATCTCGGGTGGCAGGAGGACACCGGAGCCTCTGCTGATCTCCCCTCTGACGGAGGAGACCGCCTGCCATGTGTTGCTTCGCAGTGACCGGCTGTAGGGCCGGGCTCAGTGTTTACACCACTGCTCCAAAACAGCTCCTGGCGTCCAAACAACAACAGCAGAGAAAAGCACGGCTGGGCTGGTGAGGAGCTGCTGGCCAGGGACTGGCAGCAGGGCTGGGCTCGCAGGGTGCAGCTGAGCCGCTTCCATGTTAAACAGCTCAGAAATGGGCCCCAGGGCGGTCCCCGTGCTCCTTCTGGGAGAGCAGCTTCTGCTTTAGTCCCAGCCTGGGTCCCAAAGGTGCCACCAGCAGCAAGGACACCTCGACATGGGTTACGTGTGTTTGCCAGCTGGCGGTGAGGCTCCAGCACCCGCCAGCAGCACGGAGGGCATTTCCATCCCGGGGCTGGCTCGGGGTGAGGGAGGGCCCAAGCCTGGCTGCCTGGCCCAGGGGGGACTGTCCTGGCGTCACTGTGGCACCAGCAAATACGTGAGGATGGTCCAAGGTCTTTTGGGCAAGGCAAAGGGAAAAACCTGGACTGTTGGTGCCTGTGCAGGAGGGGGAAGGACAGCACAACAGCGTTGGTGTCAGCTCCCTGTGCGTCCTCCGCAGATTTTGTTGGTCTTTAGCTGCTTTTTCTTTAATATCCAAGGCAAACCTCAGTCACACGGTTTCACTCCAGCTCTCCCGCCGATATAAATTTAGTCCTTTAATGAGAGAAGTGCCCTGCACGGGCATGTCAGGATGAGGCTCAGTGGTGCTGAGGTTACCCAGGAGCCCTGGCTCACTCGAGGCACCGAGTGCCCACCCTGCCTCCAGTCCGTGCCGGGCTCGGAGAGGTTTGGAGTCAGGACTGAGGCTGCAGCTTGCAGGCTAGCCAAGGGTAATATCATCTTTGTGCCCGTAATTAGTTCCTAATTAGCATAGTTTTAATATGAGACGGAGTTGCTCTCCCCTTAGAGTGCTCTGCTTTTTAGAAGAGGCTGAGTAATTGCCTCTGCGGCTCTGCGGCCGTTCGG